GGCTCACTTTCCTTCGTGACTCACCACTGCTGTGTCTATCCGTTACAAGTTGAGGATGCATCACATCAGTCGCTCACCAACTGTGTCGTTTATTCTGGCTATATGTGGATACCAATTTATCGTCATATCTAAAATACCTGAAATCATTTGCTGTACATATCGAATTTACTCAGTCGCACTACCTGGTAAACATGCAGATCGCACTGCCACGGAGTCTCTTTCAAGTGAAACGTTGAATATCGTGTCACCCCCCAACCTTCCTCCCCCACCTTTGCAGCAATTAACTATTGAGTGTATATATATTTTATTCAACACATAGTTGTTGGTGACCAATATTACTCATAATATAAGTTATTGGGTTAGGTCATGTAAATATAAACGTGTCGTTAACCCACCACCACCCGACACAGCCATTAGTAAAGTTTGTCACGAGAACAAAACACGCCAATTAGTTACCACTTCAGCACTCTCCAACACACTTATTTTACCAGGTAAGGCCCAGAGCTTTCTTTTAGAAGAGACCTGGCCACAGATTACAGCTCAACGAAGCAATTTATAACGTGAAAATGTATCGCAGCCAAATACTCTAAACGCACGTTTCTAAATGTGGAATGAAAAGCCAGAGGATCCAGAGAAAAATCCACGCGACTTGCAAACTCCAAAAATACTGTATACAGTAGGCGTCAGGGTCGGGATCGTACCCACGACCTCCTTAGACTAGGCGAAACAGATAACATCTCGCTTCCGTGGCGCCCCAATTTCTAGTGTTAACACGATGCAGTGCATATTACTCCTGAGCACATGCGTAGTGACCAACTCGGAGACAGTAAGACTTGTGGCACTTCTTTATTTAACAAGCACCATCGGGATAACACACTCTTTATTAAGGCCGTCTATTGTGGGCAGCACTACTTAGCTAGAACAGCTGGCAGGCTGTCTGACTAGCGGCGCCCCGGGATGGTGCAGACGGAGACGACGACGAGACGAATGATGGCGATGGACTTGAGCAGCACGACGGGGATCTCAACTCCAACAACAGCCCCGAGGTCTCCCACAGGGGCCCCTCTTATACTCTCAGCGTGGCCTCGCTCCGCCCCCGGTCACGCCCCCTTTCTGGAACCTACCAGCAGGTGCCTGGTGTGCCCCTTCTGTGACCTTTCCCCCAGATCCCCCTCTCGTGTCTGTCCTAGCCTCTTGACGTCAGGGCTGCCGTACGCTGCAGATCCTCTTTTCTGCCAGCAGCCACCGCTATGACGCTACACATATACAGACGTTGAGCAAAAATATATTACAAAAAAAATCCCGAGACAACTTGTGGCTTTATTTTGCAACCAAAAACCGTTGAAAAGAAAGGACGACAGGTTTGAGAAGTAAAAAAGAGTTCAAGGGAATGACTACGAAGGAATGACAACTCAAGGGAATGACAACTCAAGGGAATGACAAAGCAAGGGAATGACAAGGGTCATTCATTTTTGTTTTAAAGCAAATTTATTCCAACCAAACGGGTAAACATGCAGCAAATATGTTTGTCCTTATACTGTATATCTTTCTCTCCAACTTCTTGAATTCCATCCTGGCAAGTCAGCATGGTTATTTGTTACACTGTACATGTCATTGCTATAGTAAAATAAAACCACTCTTGATCGTACACGGTATTTCGAAGGAAGAGCATATTTTGTTTCTTAAAGTGTGCCAAATAAACACGGAGCATCGACAGTTAAGAGCGCTGTGCTCTCAGCTGCAGTAATGTATGTACGTTGAACTTCTTTCTCACCATACGTATCCAACCGTGCTAATCGGAGGTGCAGGGAAATCGGAGTCGAGACGAACGCTCCTCTCTGGACACGAATGCACGTTCAATAGCCGTGATGAAAAATATTAGCGTATCATTGCACCGCGCTTGCACGTGACAATGTTTTAATTGTTCAAATGTTCTGATTCATTTTAGAATTGGCTTCTCAACTTGTAAGGGCTATGTAATCTGGCACACTTATCGTTGTGCTTGTCATCAATACAGTGTGCTTAATCCCACGTCTGTGACCGCGGCTCCCGAGTCCACAGGTGGTGCTAGCATGGGTGAGCTTTAACATTCGGTTGGTTCAGCCCGCTACACCACACAATGCAGCGTGTCATCATCATCATCGCTGGATGTGCCCACTTAATTATTTATAACATTCATAAGTCATTTATATTTATAATTTATAATATTAACAAATAATCAATTGGACTTTCTAGTCTGGCGGCGTTCATATTATAGTCGTGGGCCAATGCACCTCAATAGGCAGAATAGATAGTGCTTCCAAAAGGATGCAGCCAGGGCACAAGCGGTACATTTCAGTGGACAGTTCACAAAAGGGCATGCGACATTCCCTATTAATGTAAGTAGTATTCTGCCGATTGGTAAACCTTTTAACCGCATCCAGATTGCCTAAGCTTATTGTATTGCTCTATGCAATGTTTACGCACGTTTTGCTTTGAGAAACGTCACGCTGTAAAACGATTTAACAGTGGCAGCCTACTGCTTACTGCAAGTATGGAGTGAGGATGTGAATGCATTCATCTGTTGCCTATGTCCACGAGTAGAAATTCAAGTCAAAAGCCGAACTCATTCCTTGCTCAATTAAGTACTGAGGCAATGATCATGTCATGTTTACAGCCCGGAGCCTGTGGTTGAAATTACACATTTCCATGGTGGGGGCAAGTAATTCTGTTGATGACCCAACAAAGTGGTACCGACTTGATCAACCCCAGAGGGATGTTGGGCTGAGTCAACCCCCACCCACCGTTTGAGCTCGCACCCGTCTCGATTGCGAGCCACTTGCTCTGCCGCGTGATGGGTATGAATTCACCACTCGATACAGTACTGGCAATTCGGGGTTGATTTTCCAGTGAAGTGCTCCAAAAACAGACCTTGCGAGGCCAGTTGGCTATAGGATTTGTCGATTATTCACAGTACTGCACGGTGAATTAGAGATGTATACTGCAGCGAGGACCACCAAATAATGGAGAATTCCAAACTCGAGTGGCGCATTAATGAACAATTGCTGCCTCAGCGCTTCTCAATGTTAATGAGAGGACACACGGGAATTTTTTTACCCCTGAAACGATGTGCGAGAGAAACTACAATCGGGGAACGCATTTCCACCTCGAAAAAATTACCCAAACCGATTAGAAGATTTGACTCGTGACTGGCAATGATGACATCCACACCTCATCACAAAAACTAAAACCAAATCGGATGAAAATGCACTTTCGTCAGTATTAGAATATCGCCCTGAAGCCTCAAGCCTACAGGCGGCGTTTCGGACCACAACCTGTACGGTTCTCTCTCAGCGCCGTTTTCAGCCACTCCGATGTCCTGTGGCGTTACGATGGAGGCAACGATACCACGAGACGCCACGACCTGGCCACCACTCCGTGACTGGTGCCACGGCTCCACAGCCACTGCTGGACTGCTACCAGTTTAGAACCAGCCCAGGAACACGGCCCAGGGACAGCACGCTGGTCCAAACCATGGGTCCCGGGCACGTTGATCGAGATTCGAGCCTCGGGGGGATCGGCTCCATGCGCTTCTCCCCACTCGCGACCCTCTCTGCGGTTGGCGTGATGGAGGTCTCGAAGAAATCTTCAATTTTTTTCGATAGGAAACATCACTATGTTAAACTATTTTAAGCAAAAAAAAGTAATATTTTTTTATTTTTCCCCCGACAATGTCATTTGAACACCGACACGGCTGGGAAAGCTGAACTAATTGGCGGCCAAGCTGCATCACAATCGGCTCTGGGAGGGCGGCTCGGCATGGGGTGATAGGCGACCTCCCCCCTCCACCCTGGGGTGACCCTGTTCTGTGATCGGCTTGGCTGGGGCTGGGCTGCCATGGGCACGTGGCTCGATATAGCCATATAACTGAGCAGGCGCTAAGCAGAGAGCCGTCATTCCCATTGGCCATGGACTTGTTTTTTTTTCCATGACCAGTGGAAACCGTGCTGGCAATATACTGGATACGGTCTGGGCCAGACGCTCATGTCGCCATGGCACAGTCATCCGTGGTGAAAGTGATCCCAATCACTTCCCAATTCTGACCTACAGGCTGCCTTCTATAATGATGCTGCATGATTATATCTGGGCCAAATCAGGAACCGGTTGTGACTCCACACGTAGTCGAGGCAGTATATAAGACATGCGTGTACGCGATGTCATATCATTAGTTCAGCTTTCCAGCCATATTTGAGTTAACAAAGCGTACAAATCCAAAAGATACGATTTCAACTTAAGAATAACCCAACCTAATTAATGCCTTTAGAAAAAAAATCATTTTCGTAAGGCAGCTTTGCAACCACCACCCGAAAGCCATGGAGGAGGGTGGAGGTTGAGGGAGCAGCAGGGGGAGTGGAGTTGTAGAGGGGAGGGGCTGAACCCACCAACTTCCGGATCACGGGGCGGTGACATGGGGGGAGTGGTAGAGGAGGTTCACGGTTTGGCCGCCCTGGTTAATACGGTGGGTGCATTAAACACAAAATATGCCCCGTGTGCTTCACAGTAGTGGACGTTAAAGACCCCATGTTATTTGGAAATGGGGAGCCCAGGTGTGCCAGTAGCATGCAAATTACTTTTTTGCCAAACCAGAAACATCACACCCATATTGTGAAACTTCTGCAACCATCTAACCCCGACTGGCAGACGAATGTCCGCTTGCTGGCCGGTGCTGCGTTGATCTTGTAAGCATGCATGTTGAACTTCTTTCGCACCGTACGTAGCCAACCATGCTAATCGGAGGTGCGGGGGAAGAACAACAAACTAAACACAATCAGCTGTTCCAAAGAAGTGAGTTTTCAACTTGCTGTCCCCGCAGCGAGCTGTCACGGGGGGAGGGGGCGGGGCAAGGGGCGGGTCCCCTGCGGCTGGGCGCATGGGAGGTGTGGCATGAATGTTAAGTGATGATGATGGGTATAGGGATAGGGGTCAGACGGCTGTTCTAGGGCAAGTTTTTGGGCCATCAAAGGTTGATTCCCATTGGTCACTGGAACAAGCAGGAACACCTTACGTGGACCCCACAGAATGTTTGCACCAGGTACACGAAGGCTCTGAGCACGTCGCCTAAACATGCTTCTCGCGTATGGCTGTGTGCAACAAATCAGAAGACCATGTGCAGGGCTGATAAGCCAAAGGGCAGCCTTCGGGGGGAGCTGCACTGATACCTTGAATGAATTCCGAGGTTCACAGTGGTTCGCAGTGTGGTCCAGGGTTTGGTCAGGATTTCCAGTCGCATGCCAGGTTTTTGTCTGATTTTTTCACTTGATTCGGTGGTGGCGAACGCCCTCGACATCATTCGGCAGATTCACCCGTGCAGGCATCGACGTCTACAGCTCTCGCGCGCACACGAGCGCCCGTGAGGCCACGCAGCGAGATACAATCGTTACACCCCGGCACGTCACTACAAAACGGTCAAAAACATCATCACGTGTGTACACCGCGTTCCCAACGTATGATATAAAAATACTCGATATTGCTTACAATATAATTAGCACTGCAAGATGTTAGATATATACGTGAAGTGCCGTTACATATCTTTTGTACTGCAGATTCGTTTTCTTACAAATGTGTTCGTTTGAGGTTGTAATTTTCCCAATGAGTAAACCACATTGAATGCGCTGGGGCCTCGTCAGCTCTTAGAAGCTAAGCGGATTTGAGCTTGGATAGCACTTGGGTGGGCGACCACCACATGTTCTAGGTTGTCACAAAGGCAGACGTGGGCCGTGCAGCAAAATAACATGACTTTACTTTAGATTTAAAGCTTTCGTGACTGCAGGGATTCATATTCTTGGTTCTTTCGGTAAAGTCACGTAGATAATCTTATTGTTTAATAGTTTTCTTATTATTTTATTGTTTCCCTTCTACGTGACTTAACCGAAAGAACCAAGAATATGACTTTACTTACTAAGCCCACAGAACTACGATCCTCGCACTCACCAGCCTAAACCGAACCACGTGGCAAATAGCGGTCAAATAACCCCCACGACCCGGACGGCATGGGGAGGCCCTCATCCAGCAGTGGACTGACAAAAGTGCTGTAGATGTACACGCTCTAGATGGGACGCGCACCAGCGACGGCCACGAGCAAGTTGGTGACGTGTTTCCTGCCCTTGCCACCGTGGTGTGCTGCGGTGAGCGCGTCCAGAACACCGCTGTGCTGCACGCCGAGGCGCGTGGCGACCGCACGCGCCACGACATCGCCAGGCGCGGCATGGGTGCTGGCCTCGACTGTCTCCGTTCCCCGCTGCACACGATTCATTCCCATCGCTTTCATAAAGCTGCCACATTTGAAAAGTTACACCGCAAATTACTCAATTGGGATCGTACAGAGCAATCATGATCCCCCCCCCGCCCCTACTGGCAGACTAATGCTCATTTGCAGCTGCCAGGTGCCGAGTCACCTGGCAGCTGCCACGAGGGGAGTGCCCGTTCAAACGTGTTGCGATGAGATGCAATGTAAAGCGCTCTGAGATGCCCCGGCTGGTATACAGGGAGGGCGGCTCGATCAAAGACAAATGACTACTCTTGTCGTGTATTCCTTTTTGTCAATTCTCTTTCTAAACTTACCAGCCACCGAAACGATTGAGACAGCTCACCCGGCACGTGCCCTGGACAAGCGATGGAGACTGGCAAGCGACGAGCATCGGTAAACCGGGGGGTACGGTGGTCGCTGGGACGCAAACTCTGTCGCCTTGCTGCGGCGAAAATTGTTCATGGGTGAAACGACTGCAATTCCCAACTCCCCCCTCACCGCCCCCTCTCCAGACCCCAGTAAAAATACAAACAAGTACATGATACTTGCAAAATCCCATCTGCATTATTATTAGTTTTCACTCAAACATTAAAAAAGTGTCCACAGGAAATAAATTACATGTTAATATTACACACGGTTGTAGAGTATTAGGTTAAAATTTGTATGTACATCACGTTTTTTTTCAAGAGCAGTAAAAAAATGCATTCTTTTGGCAAGTGATACAGCTTTAAAGGTCTAACGTAACAGCAACGCTGTCAGCGTTCACCGTTTAAATACAGCCCAAAACTATTCATACAAATCAACGACGGTGTCACACTAACGCGTCATTTGAAACCGGCGTATTACAATTTTACCCATAAAGCAAATATCGTGGGTTCTGAAGGTTTCCTGCCCCCAAAAATAAAAATATTTTAAATGTATATATCATGAGCCATGTTGGACAATTATTGAAATTGAAAAATTTCGTTGTTTATAATTCAATTATGTCATTGCCTAGACTCGACTAAGCCAACATTAATGGACAATAACACCAAACATCGACAAAGCATTCTTAGTCTAAACGTCTGCTGTTAAAACAGCCGTTAAAGTGTCCACGAATTTATGAAATTATTCAGAAAAGATAGTCACTTTGCCATCTGCGTAGACCTTTAAATCCTCTAACAGGTGGTTGTGGTCACACACACACGCGCTCACCTGAAACAATATCACATTCAATATAAAATGGAAAATATCCATGGGTTTTTTTTGGGTCATTTTTTGTTTAACGATGAAATCTGATTACTTTAGTTGTCCTGTGCAAAAACGCATCGATATACGTTGTACGATGGTTTGATTATTGCGCATTCCACGGTAGCAAGCTTTGCGATCACACGAGCGAATAAACATGAAAGGCAAAAGCGTTTCCCACTGTCATTCACCAAAAGCTGCTCATCCGAGCCGCGGTCCGGATCTACAGGAAGTGATCATCGGTTGGATCTGTACGCAGGAAAGCAGCCTCAATGGATTTCAACTCCAAAGCACATGGTAGGGATGCATTGGAATGTAGACTTTGCAGTGTGGTCCTACTGAGAGTGTGCAAAGTAGGGAAAGAAGACAACACTTGGGTGAATAAGGTTGTGCTGCGAACATCGTTGTCCGATTTCTTTTTTTTTAATTTAGCCCGCGGGAGGGAAAGTTGTGTGTCGATAGGAACTGTACAAAATACAGTCCCGGCTGTTTTCCACATCCTGCCTGATATGTTACAAAGTTGATAATCTTCATTAGTCGTCGACCAAAAACGTAAGCGTATAAACATCGGCGTGGTTACATTCAAAGCCAGAATAACGTTTAAAAAATATATATACATGCAATCTTCTACCAAGACTTCCTTACAAAAATTATAAGCCAGATTTTCAAGAACACTGAAGATGCAACTTGCTCACGACACCCAGATACTGAAGTAGTCTCCAGGCTACATTGCTGTGAAATCGCGAGGGACTTGTTTGACCGTGCCAGAACAGTGCATTGACACGCAAGGTGCAACGTCGCATTGTGCCTTGCTTTGACTCTGGGCAGACACAGACACGTGTGGAATTACGACGTTGCTAATCCCACAAACCACACCTGTTATCTTGGTAAGTGCCATCGTATATATAATGTATAAAATACAACTTTTACAGCTAACCGAGTTTTACATAATTTAACAACGCCTCTCTTATCTCTTCCACAGCCCACGTATCACCCTGCAGCCAGACACATTTTAAATGTGCAAACCTGGTCAGTTTGATTTTTGGTATTTAAAAAAAAATTGTTCATAATAGGGGCATTACCCTGATCCGTGTGCAATATTTATCCTTAAACAGATTCTGCCACTGAGTTGGCAGCGGCAGACGCGTCACCTGTGTGTGTGACCAGCAAACACAAACCTACATTCGGTGACGTGCAATATCTGGACCTGCCACGGGAGGGCCTCGGTAGCTCCCCCAGAATCGACAGGCCTGGCCGTGAAAGGCTTAAGAAACAATCTGCATCTGCTAAAACAAAAATAATTAGAAATTATGAAAATGTGAATGAGACACGGAAGTTATTTTTTAAAAATAATTTATAATATTTGCAAATTGACCAACTGGGACATTTAATATTTGCAAATATTGCAAATAGTCTCTCTGACTGCAGCGGGTTTTGCAGTCTTGATACTGATGTGGGTAAGGCTTCAGGGTTCTGGACATTTTTGCTGTCCGATTCCGTTTCACCCATCTGTGGTTTAGGATGGGTTCACGTTTGCTGCTGTCTGATGGGCAGCTCCCAGCCGTGGTGTTCCCTCTGCCAGCGGCGGGGGCGTAGTTCTCGAGTGCGGAGGAAATGCAACTGCACAGGACGGGTCACAGGGGTTCTGGTACCAGACTACGAAAGAAGGAGGAGGAGGGGGGGGGGCGTAAATTTACCGGTTTCACTTCACAGGGCGGCGACACGGCAGAGCAGTAGCGCATTTGCCACTTGAGCCCCGCAGACGCCCTGGTTAATACTGCCGGTGTATACTGCATGCCGTTTGCTTCACAGTAGACATTAAAGATAACGTGACGTTATTCATTAAAAGAGCAGGTCACGTGTGTCGGCATCATGGTCCAATTTTGCCAAATGTAAAATTTACCCAGAAATCACAAAGAGTGGAAAAAAATTGCCCCCCGCAAGGTAGCATACGACTGCAGAGTTTGTGATCCTTGAGCTACGAGAATGGTGCAACAATCCCAAAGTACTAATGGTTTAATGATTTATATTAATTCCTGGCACCAGAGCCCATGCGACTCATGCTACGCCCACTGCCCAGCAGAGATGTCCCCTGCACATCCCAGGCTGTGATCATCGCGTGCCCCCAAGCATGCCGGTTTGTGCTGCCCGCCGTCTGTGGAAGGCAGCCCGCTCCCCATTTCACTCGGCACCCGTGCCACATGGGGAGACAAACCAAAGTGGGACCGACACGGAGAGGAAATTACACTGCGTTGACGGAGTTCGATCGTGGTCACGTGGCACACCGTCATGAATCACGGAGCGGAAGCCTCCATTTGACCGTGGCATGGGAGACGCTGCTCACACGCACCGCGTTCGTCCTGCCGTGCTGTACATCTATGTGGCTCTGTGTGTGCTTTTCAAAATCTTTGGTGCGTCCTGGTGGCACACTCCACCTCTATGCAACTTGCACGAAAAAAGTTAACGACTAACAACACTAAAGTGGGTTAAGTCCAATCAGCAGTTGTCAAAAGCAGCTTCACGATAGTAACGTGGAGTCAATATTGGGTGGCAGCCCTGGACTCGAATCCAGCGGCTCAGTGCTCTAACACGGCCCCATACTTTTGTGAGCAACCCAGAAATGTTTACGTCATATACTTGAATGATATGGCCATTTTGACCGGCTACAAAACGACAATCACGGGGGAAGAAACATTTATTTTAAGCAATCCCTTCCGCTCGTTTTCTTGCATCCATGACCTTGATTCAAGTGAACAGGCATTCGTGTCAACAAAAACTCCCCCCTGTCCCTTGTGCAGGCATTCACATTGTAGTTGCGCTATGTACACATTTAGACGTGGGCGACGTTTCTGTTGTTGTGGCGTTTCAAACGCGACATTTAAAAACGTGTCTCTTGCTTCGCTTCATTTGCTGACGTTGTTTCGCAGCGGCGGTCCAGAAGCCCCCCCCCCCCCCACCCCCGAGTTGACCGGCTTCCGAAGTCGACCGCTGGCGGCGGAGTCACGACGAGTCGGCGCTTTCGCTCGTGCCTGGAAGACTAGGGACGGATTGCCAGCGTGACGGATTGGAGCGGTCCGAGCTAGCGCCGTCCGTGTGCCGGAACGACACGGAAGAGCGGCGCGCGGAGCGCGCCGGCGACGCCTCTTGACGCCCCGCGACCCCCGCGACCCGCACGGGACCGGCGAGCGCCCGGGGGGTGAACGCGCTCGGCGTGAGCGGCCAGGGCGGGGAGGTCGCGGCGACGGAGCCCGGGCTCCAGGCGCCGTCCGCCGGGAGATCCAGGGGGTGCGGCGGGGCCCTAGCGGGGGGCGGCGGAGGGGGAGGCGGAGGGGAGGAGGCGGGCGTGTCGGGGGATCGCGGTGCGGGCTCCGGCGACGTGGGGCTGTAGGCGGGGGGCACCGGAGCCACGCGCCGCTGCAGCAGCTGGATGATGGAGCCGAAGTCGGTGGCGATGCGGGACTCCAGCCTGCAGGGACGACGAGGCACGCGGAACCAAGTCGTGCACATGCACGGCTCTTGTTGTCAATCCAATGCCCACACTTAACCACCCTGGTCAGTGTGGGTTTGGTGAAGTCACAGAGCACGGACGTGGAAGCACAGAAGTGGAGAACAACTGTGGAGTTTGCTACACTGCCCTCGACTGCCCATCTCGCAGCCACGCGGTAGCCTATGCACAATCGGTGGGCACCCATCCCTCGAATCGGTGGGCACCCATCCCTCCAATTGGTGGGCACCCATCCCTCCAGTGTCCAGGCTGAAACATGCTTTAGGTTCCTAGGCCTGGTGCGATGGGGTGGCGCATTCCAGGTGGTTTGGCCACATGCTCGTACAAACACAGGTGCGGACACGCAACAATGCACGCACCGCTACACGTGCGAACATGCACACAGGCAATATACACGTGTATTTACACGCACACCTAAACTTACCCATCCACACATACATACATGCACACATACATTCTATACATGTATACACAGAGTTATATATAAACACATACACACGTACCCATATCGTGCATGCTAACACACATATGTACAAGGTGATACATATACCAGCCCCACTTAAGGGTGAGCCAATGACCACAGCCAGCTTCCGTTACAATAAATTTCCCGCACACAACTCTGCTATTTATTTCTGAGCTAAATCCAACCCATGCAGGTTGATAATTAATGTACCGCACCTGTTGATGTGTGTCTGCAGGAGCTCGATTCGGTCCTCGATAGGCAGAAGTCCGATCCGTAAATCTGCTCCAGTCTCCGTTTCCAACAGCCCAGTCCGCTTCTCCCCAAGATCCGCTCCGCCAGCCGCCCAGAAGTTGTAAACCTCTGGGACATCTGCGTGCGACAAAGGCAACAGGTTAAGCGGAGCGAGCTAGAATCCATCTGAGAGGCTCTCTGCACCGACTGGCTTGTCCAGTTGTAGCCCAGGAATCAATGGGGTTTGTTGTCCAGAGGACAATCACTATTGACTTCCAGCGGCATGGTCACCAAACCCACGCTGACCAGCGCGGTGAAGTATGGCCAAACTACCCCCGCGTCGTGGGGCGGCCTTCGCCAAGCAGTGGATTGACGGAGGGCTGCCAATTATCATTCATCGATGATACAATTTCCGACTGTGTAATGTTACACACTTGCTGACACCGATGGCGCACCGGCAAGGAGGTTGCAGCGGCTGCCCGAGATGGCCCCGCTGGAGAAGGGGTCCTTGCTGGCGGGCGTCGAGAAGCCGTCTGCGTTGCCATTGATGGTGCCCGTCTTGGGCGACGGCGACAGCTCCAGGAGCTGCGTGGACGCCCGGGCCACCCTCTGCGCCCGGCTGCTTGACCTGGCAGCGCGCAGCCCCGATACATAGCCGCAGCCACCGCGGGCTCGTCACACTGAGCTCGTGATGCAGCACAACCGTCGTCACGCTCGCTATATACAGCGGCTCTAGGAAGCACACCCAATCTCCAGTGCACGTTTGCTTTTGATGCCCACAATGACCCCCACAAACCTAAATGAAATAGTTCAAAATAACGATTAAACACCAAGAGTAAACAAATCACAATGTCTCTCTATTCACATGAGCAAAGGGACTCTGCGGCACTGATCCAGTCGTTGAAATTCCACATTCCCATGGAGGATGGCAGTCTCTCAACGAGATATCCGTGCTGCCGAATTGCCGCAAGGCGTCGTTGGTTTGATCACACGCAGGAATGTAATGGAAGGAGTTAACCGATGAGGAGGCTTTCAACTTGCAACCTTCCCATTGTGGGTCAAGGGATCTGACCGCAGCCGTGGGAAGCCTCGCCGTGGCCCAAGACTTATTTCCCCAGAGGGTCCTGCATGGGACGCTTGAGCGAGTAGGTGACGGGCGGTGGACCGCTTTGCCCGGGGCTTCATTTCCACACCCAGCAGACCACATCCAGTGTACCTCTCGCTATGGCTATTAGTCACGTGCCACTCAATTACAGTCTACCTGCAATGCAGAAACATCCTGCAGCGCAAGGCTATTGGCAGGAGGGGGGTGTTGTTGCTCCGATGTGATTCCTACCCAGTTAAGTGCGGCATCACACCACTTTACGCACTTTCGCTGCAATGCACTCAACCTACCGATACCCAGTCCTGGCGTAGGCACCGTGTACCTCGCCATCACGTACTCGAGAGTTACCAACTTAGCCATTAAGACCCAACATTGTTTACGTTGCACGGTGAACATTCAGCCGCCATATGATGCCCAAGTGTTAGCGTCTCTGACTGGCTAAAGTGTTTCTCATGTCTACTCCATTAATGTTTATTTCCCAACATACCGTACTTATGGTGACTATTTTTATACAAGTGTAAACTATTTTTTACGTGATAAACAACTAATAAAAATACACATAGTATAACAGACAAGCTAATATATCTTAACATATCAATAATGATCACTTTCCTTTCACACCGATGGTTGTGCAGTGTTGATGCGCAACAGGTTACTGATCATCCTCGGTCTGGGTACTGAACCACATTACCATCCACCATCCCATCTCGAGTAGGAGTTTAACACGTGGACTATCTCCACCAATATTATCCATAATAGAGGTTTCTTTAGGTTAGATCGTGTAAATATAAATGTGTCATTAAACCCGCCACCATCCGACACAGCCAATTATTAAGGTTTGTCACGGAACCAAAACGTGCCAATTTGTGACTAGTACAGCACACATCCGGTGTGTTGGAGAGTAAACCCACAAAATGTACAATGCTATGTTGGTCAGACAGGATGAATGATCAGCAAGCGACTAAAAGAACACCAATGGAATACGAAATACTCTCAAACACGACTGTCGGCATTGGCAGAACACACGTGCCAACAAGGACACGCAATTGATTTTGATAATGTTGAAGTTCTGTACAAAACGAGTTACTACTGGCCAAGACTAATTAGAGAATATATCGAAGTTGAGAGAAATTAAAAAATAATTTTAACCGTTTGGATAGCTACAGGCTTAGTGCTGCTTGGAAGTGAATCAAGTAATACTGTACATTGTTTAACTGCATCCCTATGCACCAGGTCACCATACGTCGATGGTGATTAACTGAGAGAGGACAACAACAAGTACTACAATTTCCGTGCACACAAAAACGGCAGGATGTACATGCACAGTGTATGTTGATTACCCTATGAATGACCCAACCGGTAATGGATACCCATTGCAATTTACATGGATACATTAACCACCCCCCCCCTTCTCTCTAGCCTCCGCACCTGATTGGCTCACAAGTGACGACATCACGTTTATCCCTCTACTTAAGAACGAAACAGGAGGATTTATCCACACCTGATGATGTTAGTTGTAATTGTAAATGTTGTGGGTTACTCTCCAACACACCGGGTGTTTGCTGTACTAGTCACGAATTGGCATGTTTTGTTTACGTGAAAAACTTTACTAATTGGCTGTGTCGGGTGGTGGCGGGTTTAACGACATATTTATGTTCACGCGATCTCACCGAAAAAACCTCTACTATCGAGTAATAGTAGCTACTAGTAGTAGTAGCTACTGTTAGTGGTAGCAGGGTGTGTACCACAGGGTGTGTACCACGTTACGATCCACCGTCCCACCTCTTTGCTTCGGTTTACATTCTGGTTTTCAGGAAGGCACCCTGGCCATGAACCAGGTCAATGCCTCTCATCGTCGGAAGATGGTGCCGCGAGAAACTGCTGCCGTTACCCGGGCGAGGAGAAGCTCACGTCCCCGACCTCCGTGCGCTTCCCCCGGGCCTGCTGCGCTTTGGGCCGGTGGTTACAGTTCCGCGTCTGGCCGTCCGTTCGCGATGTCACGTCACTATCATCATCCTCGATCCGCTTCTTTTGTTTCCCTGCGAACACGGGACGGGCGCGGATCCACGATTAAAACCAACGGTGGCGGCGTGATGAGTGGTTCAGGGCGAGGGTGCTCGGAGATAAACCGCAGTGGGCCAAGAGGCAGTTGTCGACGGCCATTTATTCGTGCAGGAAGGCCTCAACGAGCCTCGACTCTTTTTCAGGAGAGTGTTGCATTGGTTAATGAGTTGTTGGCCTCATCCGAGAGGAAACCGGGGAAAACCCAAACTCGGCGAAGATCCACCACGCTTGGAATGTAAATGGGCCCCACCGACCCATGCAATGACGGGAACCTTGTCTCAAGGTGGCGGCTTTCGAGCACAGGTACGTGTCTTGGACTCACCCTGGTCCCTCTGCTGTTTCTGAGGCGATGCCTCAGAGCCACACTCAGGCAGGGGGTGGCAGTCTCACTGATAGCCTCCCAGATATGTTCAGTCCAAGACTTTTCTTAAATGATGTCAAATTGTAAAAAAGTAAAAAAAAAATTGTCAATACTTCTTGATGGATATTTGACTTAAGATACAATCAGTGTCACATTTTGACAATCTGATGATACATTTTCTTTGGCGGAACGAGTGCCTTTAAAGACACTAGAAACCGCGTGGCACGATTGGGAGCCCTGGGTGTGTGCCAAGGCAACCCCACACGAACCCACATGACCCCACACGAACCCACACGACCCCACGCGAACCCACGCGATTCCACACGACCCCACGCGGCCCCACGCGGCCCCACATGTGGCCCCATGCGGCCGGCCGTACCGAGGCCGACTCTGTTCCACAGCGACGACCGCCGCCTCCTTCGCCGTGACGCCGCCCCCTCCCCGCTGCCGCCCGAGTCCTCGCTGGAAGAGTCGGGGATCATGTCCACCTTTGGCCGGGGGGGAGAGGGTCGTGGGATGAATGCGACGCCAATACATGACACAGACGCACCGCGTCTAATCACATCACGAGTACGATGCTTGTAAACGCAGGAAAGTCTGACAGCTGAGCCTCATGAATCTGTTTCAGGAGGGTCCTGCCAAGTTTTCACAGAAGGAGGACGATGATCGCTGTGTAGATTCCAAACGATTGAATTATGGGTATTTTTTTGTAATTTGGACTGTGCCCCTGGCACATGGCGTCTTTAACGTCCATTGTGAAGCAAACGGCACGTGGTTTTTTTATGGTCGTATGTATGTTGAACTTCTGATCTCGTAAAGGAACATAAACCATCACAGGAACTCCGGTCATCCTCGCAGTGGCTTTTGGCTGGCCATCGAACAAAGACGGTGATCACCGCATCGCGCGCTTTCAGATGCGCTTCTGCGGCCGTCTGGAATTTTATTCCTCCCGATATTATGAACCCATTGGAGTTGTGCACTTTTAAATCTAGATCGAAAACTAATTTCTTTAGAAATGCTTTTTGTGTTTAGTTTGTTGTCCTTCCCCCGCACCTCCATTTGACACGGTTGGATACGTACGGTACGAAAGAAGTTCAACATACACACATCGCATACATGCTCCGTACATACATACATGCACACATACAAACATGCAAACTCTGAGACCCGAACTGCCCGTACGTCGCGCAGGTTGAAGGTGATCTCCAGGTTGCGCCAGAAGCACTCGGAGAACTCGGGGTACATCTCCAGCACCTCGCACAGGTCCTCACGCAGGATCTTGTGGAGGTCGCAGTACGTGAGCGCCCGCACGTCCGCATTGGACTTGCCGGGTTTGCTGCACACATCCAGCGGCTCGCCGAAGATGTCGTTCTTGCCTGGAAGAGAGGCGACCATCGACGCACAAACGCGTTGGTCCAACAAGCCGTCGATCCATCGGTTAACCCACCAATCGATCAATCCATCAATGTAGCAAGCCAGCAAGTCAACAACCAACCATTCACTCATTCCATTAATACGTAAAGCCATTAACCAATCAATCCATCGTTCAATGAACCATTCATACATTTATCCGCCAACATAACCATCAGCCAATTAAACCATGAACCCATTCAGCCTTCATCTCAGTAACTCACAATTCCATCAAACCATCAGTAACCAATTCAGCAATGCATTGACTCATCAACTTATTAAGCCATGAATAAATCAATGCATCAGACATCTACTCATCAACTCAACAAACCAACCAGAAATTCATAAACTTATCAATGAAAAAGTGAGCATTTCCTGGGTAAACAAGCGTGATATTAACTATAATTATTATATCTCAGCTGATTAAGGATTTCCCCGCATCTCCCCTCTGCATCTCAAACTAAACTAAAACAAAACTATTTGATTTTAGCAGGAAAGGCCCACTAAGCTATATAGCTCTTTTTCAGAAGTAACCTGGCACAAATGATAGCTCAACAAAGTGGCTTATCATCACGTGGACATTTATAGCAGCCAAATACTCTAAACCTGTGGTGATGTTGATTCTAAATGTGGAGGGAAATAACGGAGGAACCGGAGAAAAATCCACGCGACCACGGAGAGACAAAGAACACGCCAACTCCAAATATATAGCAGCAGGCGTCAGGGTCGGGATCGAACCCACAAACTCCTGCATACCAGGCGAGGTAGTTAACATCTCCTAGCCACGTGGCACCCCCATCTCCCCCGCATCTCCCCCCCCGCATCTCCCAGGAGCGGACGTTCCCCCTGCGCCGCGACGCGCACGCACCGAGGATAGCGACGACGATGTCCTCGCGCAGGATCTCGATGGAGCCGCGTGAGATGAAGTAGAGCGCTCGCAGAACGTCCCCCGCGTGCACCAGCGTGTCGCCGGGGGGAGCGTGCGTCGTCTTGAACTTGAGCGCGAGGGCACGCAGGCAGCCCTTGCTGGCGCCCTGTGGGGGGGGGGGGGGGCACGCGGCATGGAGGAGGGGGGGGGCGTGGGGGGACATGGGGGGACGTGGTGAATGAGGAGGAAAGAGGAGTTAACCCAATGGTCACGCGAACTGCGGTCATCCTCACAGCAGCGGCTTTTGAATCGCCATCGAACAAAGACAGTCACTCATAATAGAGTTTTCTTTGGGTTAGATCGCGTAAATATGTAATTGCGTCGTTGAACCCGCCACCACCCGACACCGCCAACTAGTAAGGGTTGTCACGTAAACAGAACGTGGCAATTCGTCACTAGTACAGCACACCGGTGTGTTGGAGAGCCAAGCCACAACATTTACAATCTGAGTACGACGTTTCGCCAGTAATTACAAGTAGCTTCATCAGGCGACAGTACTAGTGACGAATTGGCATGTTCTGTTTACGTGACAACCCTTACTAGTTGGCTGTGTCGGGTGGTGGCGGGTTTAACGACACAATTATATATTTACGCGATCTAACCCAAAATACCTCTATCATGGATGATATTATTCGCGAAAGTCACTGCATCGTGCGCTTTCAGATGCGCTTCTACGCCCGTCTGTAACGTTCTTCCTTCTGATATGAGGAAGTCACTCGATTGAAAATATTTTTTTAAGAACTGCTTTTTGTGTTTAGTTTGTTATCCATCCCTCGCACCTCTGGCTACGTACGGTGCGAAAGAAATTCAGCATACACACACACACACACGTACATACTCACAGCCCTGTGTTGCTCAACTGTACATCAGCCTGCAAGCCAGCCACTTTTATATTCATCAATTACGTAAACTTGGTCGAATTGTGCTTTTGGTAATAGTTTTCAGAATGACTGTGGAGCGACCCTGGGTCGTATTCGTCTGCGACAGCTGTCGCCAGCAGATGGCAGCAGCCATCGCGCCGTGCACGCGCGCGTGGCCCACGGGACTCCACCTTCAGGGGCAACGTCGAGAGCGGTCACAGGAGGGACGATGGGACCGGCCGTGAAAGGGTTAAATGTCGCTTTCTATGTCGAATCGCGAGAACCACTTAATCACACCCACGAACCCTCCCATCGCCGCGGTCGTCACTCAATATCGAGGCTGCACTTCCCATGCAGTGCGTCACGAGGCACCCTCAGACAAGGGGACCAAGGGGACCCTCCCCCGTCGCCCCCCCCCCCCCCCCCCGTGACAGCTGTCCCTGCGAGTGACAAAGTGGACGCGGCACTGGGAGCGATGCTGCTCCGTGGCTCCCAGCTCATATTCGGCAAAGAGTTTGGACCGTGAAGCCAGCCCACACGGAGCGCTCTTTGAGAATAACGCCACGGGATCTTTCGCGTCCACTGCGGACTGGACGCAGCGCTGCCACGTGGACGTGGCGCCCCACGCACCTTGAAGGCCCTGCAGTTTTCCAGAAGCGTCCGGTTGAGATGCAGGCAGATGTCGGCCTGCAAGCAGTCCGGGAAACCCTTGAGCACCTGCACGCACACAAAGATAAAGGTTCCCGTGCAGTCTTAGGAATCCTTTGAGGCAAGTGCTGTTAGCGAGTACCTATAAAGACGAGGGGGTGGGTGGTCAGCACCACGCCCTGCCGCCTTTGTCTTCCTTGTGGTGATCATTACACACCACGCCATTTTAGGCTGAGTCGACCTAGGCGCAGGACAGTTGAGATAATCGTCACTGTTGTTGGCCGTGAGTGTTAATGGACCTTGGGTCGCTGGGTTTGTAGCGCAGTGCGCTAACCGTTGCACCGCTGCTCCGCACATACACACAAGCGTGTAGGCGACTACGATCGACCCTGTGCATCGTCTAGCAGAGGGATTTCAGCTGCTCGCAGAGCCTGACGATCCCCGCTGCGGGGTGCAGCCACGGGGAGATGGATGCCTTGCGGAGCCCGTGTGTGTGTACGTGTGTGGCGATGAACACGCACGGCCTTTTTGTAAGTCAGCTGCTAGATGAAGGCCTCTCTAAGTCGTGCGTGGGTGTCGTGAGGGTTATTTGAGGTGGGTGGCAAAATACGCGGGAGCATTATAAACACGGTGCGGCAGTGACTTGGCAGCACGGCCCTATGCTGCCTCAATGCAGCATAGCCCCACAGTCATCTGTGTTATGCATGGTGGTTGCCCATCAGGGCACCTTACCCACTCACTCACCAATCCCACCTCCTCTCCCACCCAGCCCACCCTCACCCATCCACGCACCCACCCAACCTTCTCATTTACCCATCCACAACTCGCCCACCAACCAAAGTCACCACCTCACCTGACCATCTACCCAACCTCCTCACAGACCGACCCACGAGTCGTCACCCATCCGCCATCCTTCCCCACCCACACAGTAACCAACCTGTAGACTTGCCCAGACACCACCAGACTTCTGGTTGTCTTGAGCAAAAGTAAAGCGTTCCAAAGCTTGGAAGCATTTATGCTCCTGTTAACACATGTTAACACTTTCGCGACCAATATCATTCATAATACAGGTTTTTTGTGTTATATTGCATAAATATAAATGTGTTGTTAAACCCACCACCACCCGACACAGCCAATTAGTAAGGTTTGTTTTGTTCTGTTTACGTGACAAACCTTACGAATTGGCTGTGTCAGGTGGTGGCGGGTTTAACAACACATTGATATTTACACAATCTAACCCAAAAAAAACCTCTATTATGGATCTATGCCCCTGTCCCGTTCCCTTTCTGCCACAGCGTGCACCGATGCCTTCTTTATTGAGGGCGATATTGACACGTAAAATAAAGATCGATCGATGGGACCGCCACGGCGCCCCTGCACTCACCATGTTCATGTCGATGCCGTTGGTGTAGGACCACGCGTGCTGGAAGTACTCCTCGAGGCGTTGCCGCAGGGGGTTGGGGATCTGGTGGAAGCGGATGAACTCCTTGACGCGCAGCATCTGTGTGTGGTAGCGCGCCGTGCCGGTGTACAGCCGCTGGATGATGGCCGACACGTTGCCGAAGATGCTGGCGTACATCAGTGCTGCGGTGGACAAGCGGTGCGGCGGTTAGCGGTGGTTAGCGGTGGTTAGCGATGGTTGGCGATGGTTGGCGGTGGTTAGCGATGGTTGGCGATGGTTGGCGGTGGTTAGCGGTGGTTAGTGATAGTTGGCAATGGTTGGCGATGGTTAGCGGTGGTTAGCGATGGTTGGCGATAGTTGGCGATGGTTGGCGGTAGTTAGCGGTGGTTGGCGGTGGTTGGCGATGGTTGGCGGTGGTTAGCGGTGGTTGGCGATGGTTGGCGATGGTTGGCAGTGGTTAGCGGTGGTTGGCGATGGTTGGCGGTGGTTAGCAGTGGTTGGCGATGGTTTGCGGTGGTTAGCGGTGGTTAGCGATGGTTAGCGGTGGTTGGCGGTGGTTGGCGATGGTTAGCGGTGGTTGGCGATGGTTAGCGGTGGTTGGTGATGGTTAGCGGTGGTTGGCCATGGTTAGCGGTGGTTGGCGATGGTTAGCGGTGGTTGGCAGTGGTTAGCAGTGGTTGGCGATGGTTGGCGATGGTTAGTGGTGGTTGGCGATGGGTAGTGGTGGTTGGCGATGGTTAGCGATGGTTAGCGGTGGTTGGCGATGGTTAGCGGTGGTTGGCGATGGTTGGCGATGGTTAGCGATGGCTGGCGATGGTTAGTGGTGGTTGGCGATGGTTAGCGGTGGTTAGCAGTGGTTAGCGATGGTTAGCGATGGTTAGCGATGGTTGGTGATAGTGAGCGGTGGTTGGCGATGGTTGGCAGTGGTTAGCGGTGGTTGGCGATAGTTAGCGGTGGTTGGCGATGGTGGGCGATGGTTAGCGGTGGTTGGCGATGGTTGGCGGTGGTTAGCAATGGTTAGCGATGGTTGGCGATGGTTAGCGGTGGTTGGCGATGGTTGGCGGTGGTTAGCGATGGTTAGCAGAGGTTGGCGATGGTTAGCGGTGGTTAGCGATGGTTAGTGGTGGTTGGCGATGGTTAGCGGTGGTTGGCGATGGTTAGCGGTGGTTAGCGATGGTTGGCGATGGTTAGCAGTGGTTAGCGGTGGTTGGCGATGGTTGGCGGTGGTTAGCGATGGTTAGCAGGGGTTGGCGATGGTTAGCGGTGGTTAGCGATGGTTAGTGGTGGTTGGCGATGGTGAGCGGTGGTTGGTGATGGTTAGCGGTGGTTGGCGATGGTGATCGGTGGTTGGCGATGGTTAGCGGTGGTTAGCGGTGGTTAGTGGTGGTTGGCGATGGTTAGCGGTGGTTGGCGATGGTTAGCGGTGGTTGGCGATGGTTAGCGGTGGTTGGCGATGGTTGGCGATGGTTAGCGATGGCTGGCGATGGTTAGTGGTGGTTGGCGATGGTTAGCGGTGGTTAGCAGTGGTTAGCGATGGTTAGCGATGGTTAGCGATGGTTGGCGATAGTGAGCGGTGGTTGGCGATGGTTGGCAGTGGTTAGCGGTGGTTGGCGATAGTTAGCGGTGGTTGGCGATGGTTGGCGATGGTTAGCGGTGGTTGGCGATGGTTGGCGGTGGTTAGCGATGGTTAGCGATGGTTGGCGATGGTTAGCGGTGGTTGGCGATGGTTGGCGGTGGTTAGCGATGGTTAGCAGAGGTTGGCGATGGTTAGCGGTAGTTAGCGATGGTTAGTGGTGGTTGGCGATGGTTAGCGGTGGTTGGCGATGGTTAGCGGTGGTTAGCGGTGGTTGGCGATGGTTAGCAGTGGTTAGCGGTGGTTGGCGATGGTTGGCGGTAATCAGCGATGGTTAGCAGAGGTTGGCGATGGTTAGCGGTGGTTAGCGATGGTTAGTGGTGGTTGGCGATGGTGAGCGGTGGTTGGTGATGGTTAGCGGTGGTTGGCGATGGTGATCGGTGGATGGCGATGGTTAGCGGTGGTGAGCGGTGGTTAGTGGTGGTTGGCGATGGTTAGCGGTGGTTGGCGATGGTTAGGGGTGGTTAGCGGTGGTTGGCGATGGTTAGCGGTGGTTAGCGGTGGTTGGCGGTGGATGGCGGTGGTTGGCGATGGTTGGCGGTGGTTAGCGGTGGTTGGCGGTGGTTGGTGATGGTTGGCGGTGGTTAGCGGTGGTTGGCGATGGTTGGCGATGGTTGGCAGTGGTTAGCGGTGGTTGGCGATGGTTTGCGGTGGTTAGCGGTGGTTAGCGATGGTTAGCGGTGGTTGGCGGTGGTTGGCGATGAGTAGCGGTGGTTGGCGATGGTTAGCGGTGGTTGGCGATGGTTAGCGGTGGTTGGCGATGGTTAGCGGTGGTTGGCGGTGGTTGGCGATGGTTAGCGGTGGCTGGCGGTGGTTAGCAGTGGTTGGCGATGGTTGGCGATGGTTAGTGGTGGTTGGGGATGGGTAGTGGTGGTTGGCGATGGTTAGCGATGGTTAGCGGTGGTTGGCGATGGTTAGCGGTGGTTGGCGATGGTTGGTGATGGTTAGCGATGGCTGGCGATGGTTAGTGGTGGTTGGCGATGGTTAGCGGTGGTTAGCAGTGGTTAGCGATGGTTAGCGATGGTTAGCGATGGTTGGCGATAGTGAGCGGTGGTTGGCGATGGTTGACAGTGGTTAGCGGTGGTTGGCGATAGTTAGCGGTGGTTGGCGATGGTGGGCGATGGTTAGCGGTGGTTGGCAATGGTTGGCGGTGGTTAGCGATGGTTAGCGATGGTTGGCGATGGTTAGCGGTGGTTGGCGATGGTTGGCGGTGGTTAGCGATGGTTAGCAGAGGTTGGCGATGGTTAGCGGTGGTTAGCGATGGTTAGTGGTGGTTGGCGATGGTTAGCGGTGGTTGGCGATGGTTAGCGGTGGTTAGCGATGGTTGGCGATGGTTAGCAGTGGTTAGCGGTGGTTGGCGATGGTTGGCGGTGGTTAGCGATGGTTAGCAGGGGTTGGCGATGGTTAGCGGTGGTTAGCGATGGTTAGTGGTGGTTGGCGATGGTGAGCGGTGGTTGGTGATGGTTAGCGGTGGTTGGCGATGGTGATCGGTGGTTGGCGATGGTTAGCGGTGGTTAGCGGTGGTTAGTGGTGGTTGGCGATGGTTAGCGGTGGTTAGCGATGGTTAGCGGTGGTTGGCGATGGTTAGCGGTGGTTGGCGATGGTTGGCGATGGTTAGCGATGGCTGGCGATGGTTAGTGGTGGTTGGCGATGGTTAGCGGTGGTTAGCAGTGGTTAGCGATGGTTAGCGATGGTTAGCGATGGTTGGCGATAGTGAGCGGTGGTTGGCGATGGTTGGCAGTGGTTAGCGGTGGTTGGCGATAGTTAGCGGTGGTTGGCGATGGTGGGCGATGGTTAGCGGTGGTTGGCGATGGTTGGCGGTGGTTAGCGATGGTTAGCGATGGTTGGCGATGGTTAGCGGTGGTTGGCGATGGTTGGCGGTGGTTAGCGATGGTTAGCAGAGGTTGGCGATGGTTAGCGGTAGTTAGCGATGGTTAGTGGTGGTTGGCGATGGTTAGCGGTGGTTGGCGATGGTTAGCGGTGGTTAGCGGTGGTTGGCGATGGTTAGCAGTGGTTAGCGGTGGTTGGCGATGGTTGGCGGTAATCAGCGATGGTTAGCAGAGGTTGGCGATGGTTAGCGGTGGTTAGCGATGGTTAGTGGTGGTTGGCGATGGTGAGCGGTGGTTGGTGATGGTTAGCGGTGGTTGGCGATGGTGATCGGTGGATGGCGATGGTTAGCGGTGGTGAGCGGTGGTTAGTGGTGGTTGGCGATGGTTAGCGGTGGTTGGCGATGGTTAGGGGTGGTTAGCGGTGGTTGGCGATGGTTAGCGGTGGTTAGCGGTGGTTGGCGGTGGATGGCGGTGGTTGGCGATGGTTGGCGGTGGTTAGCGGTGGATGGCGGTGGTTGGTGATGGTTGGCGGTGGTTAGCGGTGGTTGGCGATGGTTGGCGATGGTTGGCAGTGGTTAGCGGTGGTTGGCGATGGTTTGCGGTGGTTAGCGGTGGTTAGCGATGGTTAGCGGTGGTTGGCGGTGGTTGGCGATGAGTAGCGGTGGTTGGCGATGGTTAGCGGTGGTTGGCGATGGTTAGCGGTGGTTGGCGATGGTTAGCGGTGGTTGGCGGTGGTTGGCGATGGTTAGCGGTGGCTGGCGGTGGTTAGCAGTGGTTGGCGATGGTTGGCGATGGTTAGTGGTGGTTGGGGATGGGTAGTGGTGGTTGGCGATGGTTAGCGATGGTTAGCGGTGGTTGGCGATGGTTAGCGGTGGTTGGCGATGGTTGGTGATGGTTAGCGATGGCTGGCGATGGTTAGTGGTGGTTGGCGATGGTTAGCGGTGGTTAGCAGTGGTTAGCGATGGTTAGCGATGGTTAGCGATGGTTGGCGATAGTGAGCGGTGGTTGGCGATGGTTGACAGTGGTTAGCGGTGGTTGGCGATAGTTAGCGGTGGTTGGCGATGGTGGGCGATGGTTAGCGGTGGTTGGCAATGGTTGGCGGTGGTTAGCGATGGTTAGCGATGGTTGGCGATGGTTAGCGGTGGTTGGCGATGGTTGGCGGTGGTTAGCGATGGTTAGCAGAGGTTGGCGATGGTTAGCGGTGGTTAGCGATGGTTAGTGGTGGTTGGCGATGGTTAGCGGTGGTTGGCGATGGTTAGCGGTTGTTAGCGGTGGTTGGCGATGGTTAGCAGTGGTTAGCGGTGGTTGGCGATGGTTGGCGGTGGTTAGCGATGGTTAGCAGAGGTTGGCGATGGTTAGCGGTGGTTAGCGATAGTTAGTGGTGGTTGGCGATGGTGAGCGGTGGTTGGTGATGGTTAGCGGTGGTTGGCGATGGTGATCGGTGGTTGGCGATGGTTAGCGGTGGTTAGCGGTGGTTAGTGGTGGTTGGCGATGGTTAGCGGTGGTTGGCGATGGTTAGCGGTGGTTAGCGGTGGTTGGCGATGGTTAGCGGTGGTTAGCGGTGGTTGGCGGTGGATGGCGGTGGTTGGCGATGGTTGGCGGTGGTTAGCGGTGGTTGGCGGTGGTTGGCGATGGTTGGCGGTGGTTAGCGGTGGTTGGCGATGGTTGGCGATGGTTGGCAGTGGTTAGCGGTGGTTGGCGATGGTTGGCAAGTGGTTAT